TTCCAGAATAGTAGGAAAAAAATTTTGGTTGTTTAAACCACCTAGTTTGTAGTAATCTGTGAGGCAGCCTTTGCAGACTCATATGGTGTCCAAAACTGTACATTCATCTCCCAACCAAATGGGAGCCACAGGAGAACATCTAATGTTAGCCAAGGCAGAGTTCCACAACCCTTCTCTCCAGGTGCCTTGTCAACTGAGAAGTGCTGCAATTCCAACTCTCTTATCTTCCTTCCCTCCTCGTCTTGCTGCACTGTTCCAAGCCTTACTTTTCACCTTGATTAGTAATAGCTTTAGGACTCCACCGCGCTGTGCCTGGCAATCTACCCTTCTTGCAATCGTTAAGCAATCCTTTAAAGCAAGGTTTCTCCATCTCAGTACTATTTGACATTTTGGAGTGGGATGATCTTGTTTAGGGGACCATCCTGTGCTTTGTAGGACGTTGAAAAGCATCCTTGGTCTCTACATATCTGAACAGGCTCACCCCAGTTTGAAGAACTAAAAATATCTCTAAGGATTGCCAAATGTCCCCTGGAGGTCAATGCTACCCCAGATCGAGAACCACTGCTTTAGAATAGGTGATCCTTCAATGTAGGCACTTGAAGGCCACTGAAGATTAAGTTCAAATTCTTCTGATCCCCAATGGCCCTCTAGAATCATCTATGGCACACAGCAATTGCTCAATAAATATTTGAAAAAGAAACACAAAACTGGTTTGCTTCCCCCCCCCCCCTTGTATTGGGGATTGAACCCAGGGGTGTTCTACCACTGTTTACCACTCTACGTCCCTTTTGTTTTCTGATACAAGGTCTTGCTAAATTGCCCAGGCTGGCTCCGAACTTGTGATCTTCCTGCCTTAGCCGGCTAAATCACTGGGATTACAGGTGTGCACCACCACGCCTGGCTGTTGGTCAGCTGTCACTGTGTTAAAATACCTGAGATAAGCAGGGCGTGGTGCTGCACATGCCTATAATCCCAGTGGCTTGGGAGGTTGAGGCAGGAGGATTGTGAGTTCAAAAGGTGTGGGGGGGCTGGGGATGTGGCTCAGTGGTTGAGTGCCCCTGAGTTCTATCCCCGGTAGCCCCAGCCAACAAAAACAAAAACAAACCTGAGATTAAACAACTTGAAAAGGAGGAAAGTTATTGTGGCTCAGTTTCAGAGGTTTTAGCCCAAGGTCACCTGGCCCTGTTGCTATGGGCTCATAGCAAATCAGAACATCGTGGTGGAGAGTGCATGTAGAACAAATGGTTCATCTCATGACAGCCAGTAAGCAGAGAGCTTGCTTTCCAAACAAAGCTCCCCAAACCCATTAAGCTTTGAGTCCATAAATACATTTATCTATTTATGAAGTTAGAGCCCTCATGATTCTATGGCCTCCCAAAAGCCTCCACCTCTGAACACTGGGAACCAAGCCTTCAACACATCAGCTCTATGGACATTTAAGATCCAAACCATGGCTGGGAGCGGTGGCTCACACCTACAATCCCAGCTATGAAAGAGGCTGAGGTAGGAGAATTGCAAATTAGGCAATCCTGGGCAAAATAAAAAGGGTTGAGGATGGTAGAGTGTTCCTGGGCTTAATTTCTAGTACTTTAAAAAAAAAAAAAATCCAAACCATAATAAAAACCAAGGTCATTCAGTTCTGTACCTTGTTTTTCTAGTTTCTCTTCCTTTCATCCCAAATTTTAAACTATTCAATGTCACTTGAATAGAATGTGTTCATGTTTTTCATACCTTTCCTGCCTTGAATACCCTGCCCTGTACCCCAATCCATCTCTACTACCTGATTCAAAAGCCAATCCTTCGGGAAGCCTCCCCTTGGCGATGCTGGGGCTTCCTAGGCACACTGTACATGGATCTCATCCCAATTCTGAGCTTTAAGGAAGAAGGAAGAGGAGAGAGCAAATAGATACCTCATTATGGCAGAAGGACTGGCACCCAAGACTAAATGCCTGCAGGAAGCAAGATGATTAATGCCACAGGATCCAGAAGATGAGGAACTCGATGAAAAACCCTGGCAAGTGCTGAAGGAGGCAGGGCTGAGCTGAGAACTGGAAGACTGGCAGAAGCCTTCCCAAAGGAACAGCCAGACCACAAGATCCCTTCTCTCACCGCTGTAGCAGTAGTTTGGACCTTGAATGTCCCCCAAAGGCACATGTGTTAAAGACCTGGTCCCCACAGTGGCACTACTGGCAGATGGTTAAACTCTGAGAGTTGGGACTTAGTGAGAAGTCCTTTGGTCATTGGGAATATGTCCCTGAAGAGGATTATGGGACTCTGGTTCCTTCCTCTCTTGCTTTCTGGCTAAAAGGTCAGTGGTTTTGCTCTGCCACACACTTCTGCTATGACAGGCTGCTTTGCCATAGGCTAACAAATCCATGATCTGGAACCTCTGAAACGAGCCAAAATAAGCCTTTTCTTTTTATCAATTATCTCAGGTATTTTGTTTTAGTGACAGAAAGCCAACATACTTTATCCAGGCAGACAGCTGTCAAATACATTCAAAAGAAAACAAGTTTATACATCCCTGAAGCAGTCGAGTCTAAGATTCTATACCTCAGACACAGCCCAGAGTATCTGTTGGTGAAGAAACAGTGAGAAAACCAGGTGAAGGCCAGGAGTGGTGACCCACGCCTATAATTCCAGTAGTGGCTTGGGAGGCTGAGGCAGGAGGATGGGGAGCTCAAAGCCAGACTCAGAGAGAGGAAAAAAAAAAAAAAAAAAAAAAAAAAAAAAAAGCAGGGTGCTAAGCCACTCAGTGAGATCCTGTCTCTGAATAAAATATAAATGAAATATAAAACTGGGCTGGGGATGTGGCTCAGTGGTTGACTATCTCCCCCACCACCCAAAACCAAACCAAACCAAACCAACAACAACCAGATAAAGCTTAGTGAACGTCTGATCTGCACCACAGAGAAAAAGAAACACTCTCCCATCCCATCTATATATTTCTGGATGGCAGAAAGTTTTTCGTGTTGATTTTCATCTGGGACAGGCACTCTGCAGAGGATGCTGGTCCTCCTTCTCATTTAGCCAATCCCCCTAGTCTTTGGTGCTAGATCACTAGAACAGCCACCCTGCCTTCCAAGGACTCCATGGAGCCAACCCTGCATGGGCTCCTCAGTCCTAGGGCAGTTTCAAGGGGAAGGTGATGGTGCCTGCAGGAGGTCATCTAGGTTGAGAATTGGCTATGGTCAGGGCCAGAGTCCACTTGCTACTGGCTCGAGTAAGAACTCCTATAGACAATGCTTACTTCACATTTATCCTTCAAGGAGAATACTTGATAAGACCCAAACTACAATTATCCACCATTTTTATCACAACATCCAAAGCATGAATTCATGTTCTCTATCTTCACCCCATCAGGGCTCCTCAATAGTCCACTCTACCTGGGTGCTATGAGGAGGATGGCACCTGCTAGTTTATCCAAATAAATCACCTATCGTTCCTCTCAGTTGTAACCGATTGACTCCACGGAGCTGAATAAGACTGCTAAAGTTAGGTGTCTAGTTCTTGATGGATGGTGTCCTTCCCCTTGCCTCAGGCACCTGGAAGGCAAGCGTAGTCTCTCTCATAGTTTGCACTAACTGAGTTAGAACTGCTAGTATGTATAAAGTCAGGAGCCAGTGAGGGAAAAGCAGGGAAAGAAGAAAAAAATCAGCTTCTTGGTTGCTGGGTAATGCTACTGGCAGAACAGGTAAACAAATCCACATCCTTTAATAGGCACTTTATTTTTTTTGATACTGGAGATTGAACCCAGAGACGCTTACCCACCGAGCCACATCCCCAACCCTTTTTAAATATTTTATTTAGAGACAGAGTTACACTGAGTTACTTAGGGCCTTGCTAAGTTGCTGAGGCTGGTTTTGAACTTGTGATACTACTCAAGTATCTCAGCCTTCAGAGCCGCTGGGATTACAGGCATGCCACAGTGCCTGGCTAACAGGCACCTTAATAAGGAGGTTTGCCTCCTCTCTCTTTCCTTACACCCAATTCCTCCTCCAACTACAGCCCTTTGAGTGCAAGGGGAATCAGGAGGTTGTCCACCACAAATGGTTTTGGAAAAGATTCTAAAATAGAAAGTCAACAGCTGTAGCAGGGAGATCTGACTTAAATTGGAAAAGGGGAGGACACCAGTCAGGAAAGCACAAAATGATGCCAGAGCTGAGTTTTCAGGAAATCAAGACAAAAGAATAAAGTAGGCTGAGTCTTGTCTTCTGGGATTATGAGGATGAGGGAAAAGGGGGGAAAAAAAACAAGCACGAGACTGTCAGATCTCTATACTCAGAGCTACAATCACAGAGAAAGATGGAAAAACGGAGAGACACAGAACACCAGAAAACAATCTCCCAGGCCCACAGCCATGATTCAACAATACCACTCCTTACAAGGGGTCAAAAATCTGCAGGCCTGGGGTCTATCAACCTCTCAGCAAAGCCCTGCAGGCACCAACCAGGCAAGGCTCACAGATGCTTGCTATGGATCTCTCCATTAACACTAATCTCCTGACCCAAAGTGAGGTCACAGGAGACATTTCCAGGCAGCTCCAAGGCTCAGTGGTGCTTTAAAAAAGCAGACACACATCCTGAGTCACATGCTAGAATTGAGTGTCTGACACTCAGCAGGTATATTCAAGCCAAGGGATATGGGGGAGGGGTCTGTTCAGTGTGGTCTTGCCAAGAACAGAGCTGGGGTCCCTGGAGATTCACTACCTTTTCAGAGCACACAAGTCTACCACCTCGGCCTGGTTGAAGGGGACGTGTCAAGCTCATTATTAAAGCGATGCTTCTTTGAGCCTGGGCCGTGCCATCTGTTTAGCCTTTAGCTACTGCCAGATCTTTTTACTGACTAACACACTGATCCCTAAGACCATATGTGACCAGATATGGCTAACCCCTAGAACAGTTCCTAACTTCCTTATTAGGGACTCCTTTGAGAATAAAGATAGATTTTCTTGCCTAAAAGGCTCATAAGTACCTTTAAAAATTTTTACATGTTCATAACTTCAGGCTAACAACCTTTTTTTTTTTTTTTAAATCTATTTTGTGTCTTTGTAAGGCATCAAGGTAGAGCCCTAAATATTAAGATGGCTGCTGCAGACTGGCCTGAGTGCAACCTCTACTGCCCTCTGTTGGCCATGAGGAGGACATGCTTAAAAAGGCTTGATTCCTTCCAAACATTGAAATGGAGCAACTTCTGCCTCACAATGTTGGGGGCAGCTTGGGAGGCTGAGGCAGGAGAATGGTGAGTTCAAAGCCAGTTTAGCAACTTAGTGAGGGACCCACATGAAGTTGAAGCAGGCCAGCCCAGGGCTGAACCAGTGCATATTTTCAGGGTAGTCTGCTAACAGAATGATGCAGTGCCAACCCTCCTGCACACATCCCTAGCTGGAGTCCCTGGAGGTCATCACCAGCCTTCTCCTTCAGCAAGGATGATAAATGATAATAATGGGAAGGCCCTCTGCCTGGACAGAATTCCACATCAGAAACCCACACCACTGGAGACATGAATTATATTTGCAGGGTGTTGGAGAGACACTGGAATGAGAGGAAAAAACTGAGAGCGAGACACCAGGTGTGGCAGGGGCTAGGAAGCCCTAGAACTCTTCGCTCTCATCCTCGCCATCCATAGACTCTGAGCCCACTTCTTCATAATCCTTCTCCAGGGCAGCCAGGTCCTCTCGGGCCTCAGAGAACTCTCCTTCCTCCATGCCCTCACCCACATACCAGTGCACAAATGCACGCTTGGCATACATCAGGTCAAACTTGTGGTTGAGGCGGGCCCAGGCCTCAGCGATGGCTGTGGTGTTGCTCAGCATGCACACTGCCCGCTGCAGCTTAGCGAGGTCACCCCCAGGTACCACTGTGGGGGGCTGGTAGTTGATGCCAACCTAAGAAGAAACAGAAAGTAGTCTAACTACCTGGTTTTGCGCCCTGGGAGGGGTCTGTACAAGGACTCCCTTAACTGATTAGGTGTTCTTATTTGGGGGAAGTACTATTAATCTCATGAGGCATAAAAATGGGTTTGTTATACTGCTTACTGAAGTGGGGTTAAGTGGGTCAGCAAAGCAAAAATAAAGAAAATATATTTAGATGTTAAAACCGTGTAGCAGGCATGTGGTTGTTAATTTTACTAGTGTCTTTTCCTACAGTGTAGAAACTCAATAGTTAAAAAATAAAAATAAAAAATAGAACATCCTAAAGATCTCTTGTTGGATCTAAATCTAACCTACTTTAAACACTGATTAGCTGAGTGCATGGTGCATGCCTGTAACCCCAGTGACTGGAGAAGCTGAGGCAGGAGGATTGCATTCAAAGCCAGCCCAGGAAACTTAATGACACTCTGTCTTTAAATAATACAAAGGTCTGGGAATGCAGCTCAGTGGTAGAGCACCCCTGAATTCAAGCCCTAGTACTACCAAAACAAAACAAAAATACCCAACAGGAATTTGAAAATATATTTCATATTCAGTGCTCACCCACCCGCAAAATGTCGACTTCCCATTATTGTCTCTAGTGACAGCAAGCCTACCGCTTCCTGAAAACAGTCTATTTCTTCCTTTGAGTGTATGTTCTTGGAAGAAAGAAATAGTCTGCCTCGCTCCCTCATTTTGCATACTGAGCTACAGCACTCTAATAATAATAATAGCAAGCAGCTATTATTACCTTTATGATCAGCAGTCATCATGTCCCTGACTGTTTTGGTCACAAGTGTCGTAGGGGTAAGAAGGCTGTATGTTTTCTAATGTCATAGCTGCTACCTTTAATTTTTCCTGAGTCTTACCCTAGAGCAAAGTCCATAAAACTTAAACTAGGTCATATGCCCAGTATCTTGGGAATGTGAACCGACAATAGGGTGGGGCCTAAATGAGTAGCTTTTCACTGCAAAAGGAAGTGACTACATTCATAGGCAGAGAACTCCAGAAGCTTTCTGACCCATGGTTCTCCCAAAATCTGGGGGTGGGCTTTTCTGTGCTTCCAAAAGCTATCCCTTCTGAACAGGCTGTGTCCTGTGGCTTATGTCCCTGGTACATGTGAACAAGGAGGCCGGTCTCCCTAACTTGACTGGCACGTCTAGGGAATGCTGTTTGTTAGCCTAAGTGACACAAAATAGATACTTTTCCTTTCATGAAGTCAGTCTTCTAAGTAGAACCCACCCCAGCTTCTGGGCCAAAAGCTTCTAGACCAGTTGAGACCTATCAGTTACAAGGAGCCATAGAGCTGCTGTTTGCCGTATTCTCCCCACCCCCAGTGCGTTGTCCTTTATGCCTACAACTCTACAGGAATCTTTCTCTGTAGTAACGCAGGTCCCAGGTGAATGGGACCTCCACCACCCAACTTGCCTTGAAACCTGTAGGACACCAGTCTACAAACTGGATGGTGCGCTTGGTCTTAATGGAGGCAATGGCAGCGCTCACGTCCTTGGGCACCACTTCTCCACGATAGAGCACACAGCAGGCCATGTACTTGCCATGGCGGGGGTCACACTTGACCATCTGATTGGAGGGTTCAAAGCAGGCATTGGTGATCTCTGACACGGAGAGCTGCTCATGATAGGCCTTCTCAGCTGAAACAATGGGTGAGTAGGTCACCAGGGGAAAGTGGATGCGGGGGTAGGGCACCAGATTGGTCTGGAATTCCGTGAGGTCCACATTGAGGGCACCATCAAAACGCAGGGAGGCAGTGATGGAGGACACAATCTGGCCAATGAGCCGGTTGAGGTTGGTGTAGGTTGGGCACTCGATGTCCAGGTTGCGGCGGCAGATATCATAGATGGCCTCGTTGTCTACCATGAAGGCACAGTCTGAGTGCTCCAGGGTGGTGTGGGTGGTCAAGATGGAATTATAGGGCTCTACAACCGCCGTGGACACTTGAGGGGCTGGGTAGATAGCAAATTCCAACTTGGACTTCTTGCCATAGTCAACAGAAAGCCGCTCCATCAGCAAAGAGGTAAAGCCTGAGCCAGTGCCACCTCCAAAGCTATGGAAGACCAGGAAGCCCTGGAGTCCAGTGCACTGGTCTGTCTGGAATAGCAAGTAACACCGTTAAGGATGCAGATGGCTTGTTGCATGCCACCATCCCTCCCCTCAGGAAGCTCTTTCTTGTCTGCAAAGCAACTGTTACCCAACTACAACGGCACTCACTTTTATATTCTAAAAATTTGAAATGATTTATACTTGAATACATTTTATACATAAAATGATCTGACAAGTCCACGAACCTATATAACCAATCCAATTACGATACAGAAATTACTATTATCTCCCAAAGGTTCCCTTCTGTATGACCTCCAGGACAGTGAGAAAAGAATATCTACAAGAGGCTTGGAGTTCTCCAGAGACCACTAAGCTAGGAAGATAGTGCTGTGTGTGAGGTACAGGGGTGAGGGGCATAGGGGAAATGAGGGTTGGGTGGGGCACAGGATTTGTGGTCAGAGAGCTGGACCAGCTTCATTGTTGTTTTGCCACATAGTTGCAGAAGACTGGGAATGGTGGAGGGATCCTACTGAATATGCAGATTCTCAAGCCCCACTTTGGATAAGAACTCAGGAACTTGTAGGTTACCAAGTCCTTTGGTGATTCTGATGTAGTTATTCCTTGGACCTGAAAAGTTATCAATCTATAACAGATACATGGCAATGACATTATAATAAAGACCTAATCCTAGGGCACAGAAACCCATTCCTTGAGTCATTCCGAGTCCTCAGCCTCTACTGAGTAACAGAAAGTTATGTCTAGACAAACCCTGTAGAGAAATAGCTAAAATACTGGCTCCCAGCTGGCCTCACTTCTTTGGACAGGGGATGGGCAAACTGGAGAAACAGTGAAGAGTTAAGCAGAAACCTCTACCAGCTAGCAAGAGCTGCACAGGAGTCTAATAACAACACACTAAGCTGCTATGGAGGATATGGAGACAGATCAAAGTTCAAAGAAGGCTTGGACCAGAGAGTCAGACCTGGTAAGGAAGAACCAGCAGGACAGAAGCCCGAGTCCACAAACTCAGGACAGAGCAAGTTCTTCCGCCCTCCACCCTAAATCCACACCCAGCACAGGACACACAGCTCCCCCTAGGGGAAGTTGGGTAGACATGTGAGAGGAATGATATTAGGTACCAGCCATAGCCGGTGGTTCCACTTCTGGCAGTATATGTTCAGCTCCCAGGGCCAGGAAGGGAGCTTAAGGATACCATGACCTCCTGCAGGTGCCAGGAGCACCTGGTCATGCTCACCAGTTTTCGGATTCTCTCCAGTACCAGATCGATGATCTCCTTCCCCACAGTGTAGTGGCCTCGGGCATAGTTGTTTGCAGCGTCTTCCTTGCCAGATATCAGCTGCTCAGGGTGAAAGAGCTGCCTATAAATGCCAGTTCTTACCCCATCTTGAGGGGAAGAGAGAGGGCAAAGGTTAAGAGGCTGTACTCATTCTCTAAGATTAGGACAAAAAGGACCTAGAGCCTTTGCTGCTAAGCTTCCCAGGTGTAACTGCACAAGAGTGTTGGACACATGAGGTTCCAGAAGCCACTTCCTAGGCCTGAGGGGGAAGTCAGGGGACACCTTTAACAGTTCCTTCTGATCATAGCCACTTCTTTTCTTGGTGAGGAATCAGTGTTCAGAGGAATTTCATTTAACTTTTATGTGGGATAAAAATATAGATTTGAGCAGAAAAAACATTCCACAGTTTCACATCTAAAACAGTATCTTTAGAAAGATGGGGGAGAGGTAGAATTTTCACAAACAGGAAACTAAGGAGCTCCAGATGCAGAAGGGAGGAAGCAGTAAAGCCCAAGGAGTTAGCAACAGCCAAGTTCAGGGGCCCATATCCTAGTAGGGACCTATTTCAGGCAAAGTTAAGCAGGGAGCTATTAGGAATGTCCTCAGCTCCCAGGTTCTTAGGCAATACTATCACAAGCCTGAGGGTAGGGAAAAGGAAGTTTAACAGGTCTGTTGTTTATCCATTCCTTTCTGCAGGACTCATTCTGTTTTGGACCTGTGACTCAGATATCTGGCAGTTTCTGGAAAGAGCTGTGCAAAAGATCTCCCTCTCAGCACAGGGAGCTCTGAGTCCCCTTCTGAAGACAACATCTAGCAACACTCCAGACTCCAGTGTTGTTCTTGCCTGCATTCCAAATGCTTTCCCCCTAAGCAGAGCATTCCACTCACTCTGGGCTGGCAAGAATACAGGTTTCCCACATACCTATGACAGCAGGCTCCAGGTCCACAAAGACAGTCCTGGGCACATGTTTGCCAGCCTCTGTCTCATTGAAGAAGGTGTTGAAGGAGTCATCACCACTCCCCAGGGTCTTGTTGCTGGGCACGGTGCCATCAGGCTGGATGTTATGCTCCAGGCAGTAGAGTTCCCAGCAGGCATTGCCCATCTGGACCCCAGCCTGGCCCACATGAATGGAGATGCACTCACGCTGTCGGGGAACAGAGTGACATTCTGTGAGCAGTGTGGGGAGTGAGATGGCACTGGAAAAAAGCCTTCCCTGGGAGTACCCCTTATCTCTCCACCCTCCTGAAGGCTGCAGCTGTGTGTTACCTAGTATATAACCCAAAGGACAGGGTTGTCTTCCCAAGCTTTCAGAACTGATTATGTTTAGGTCTTTGGGGGTTAGTCACTATGTTTAGGTCTTTGGAGGTTAGTAACTGGAGAAAGTAAAAACTTAGCAGCCATATCTCACTGCAAAGTGCCCTTTCTGCTGGCTGGGGTGTCTTGGGAAAAGCTCAGAGTCCTGAATTTCAAGATGGGCCCATCTGGAGTTACTAGGCTCAAAATACTGGTGTCTAGGGAGAAGAGGTGGCTCTCTTATCTCCTCCATATGCTGAAGGGGCAGAAGACCAAATTCAGAACTGTGAATTAACTAAAGCAATTACAGTCAGATTTTTGAAAGTTCACCCACAATTTTCCCTTTTTCAGGGGATATTACCTGTCTAAACATTGTCACTATCCATTTAGTACAGATAGATTGATTAATCCAAGGAAGTACCACTGAGAGTCCCGGTGATGGGTCCCAGTGTTGGGACCACCTTTCAAGTGTCTTCTCTGATGTACATTCTACGATGGTTAAATCTTCCCTTCTGGTCCTTCACCCCCAACCTACAGTCCGGACAGTTTGAAAGGGAAGAGTGCCTCCCAGATGTAGAGGGGACCTTCTAGGGGCACGGTAGGAACAGTTTAGCAGTCTTAGGAACTATCTTCAAAGGTAGCCTCAGAGCCTTCAAGGGGGCTCCAGGCAGATATGAGGATCAAGAGATTCCTACGGAGGACTTGGACACACCAAGTTCTCAGTTTTAACTGAGGGAATCTCATGCCCTTGAACACCCAAATAGAGAAGTTGGAGCAAAGAACTTTTTATTCCCCAGGTACCAGGGGCATACAGAAACCCCTGGTCAGGTAATGGGGCCAAAAGGCGTGGACTTCTGGCCTGAGCTGGCCGCTTGAGACAAAGGCATTCAGGAAACGGGTTCTCAACTTGAGAAACCTGTTGGAATTCCCTTATCATTCCTGGTCCATCCTTCTGCGCGGGAGAATGCTCTCTACGGGAGGCGGGGATTGCAGCTAGAGGCGGGCACCTCTTTGTCCCGGACTGCAGCGGGAGAAATTTGGGGCGGGTCCTAGGTCCGCTCCGGACAACAGGGCGCGTTTCACCGCGGAGCCAACTCTTAAGTCACTTAAGAGCCGGAACCGCCATTCAACATTCTCGCGCTGCCTGCCCCACGCCGGGCGCTTTACCTTTGGCTAGTCGGTAGTGCTCTCGGAACGTTCAGAACTTTCCTCGGTCGTATCCCCCTCCCGTAAGGAAGGGGCCCAGAAAAGCAGTGCTTGGATTCCCCGGGCGTCCCTAGGCTCACCTCACCACCTGAACACCCCTCGCATCCTGGAGCAGCCCACCCACACTCTGGACTGCCTGGGCGTTCCTCCTTCCCGCGAAGCCCGCTGTTGCCACAGACCCCAGCTTTCCCCGCAAGCAGCACCCTCACCGTGGACTCCTCGAGCGCCCCCAGCTCCCCCTCACCATGGCTGCTCCGATAGGTAAAGCTTGTGGAGAGTGGCTGACTGCAGACGCGTTACGAGTCTCCAGCTCCACCACGAATCCCGGAGTCGCGCCAGCAGCCCGGGTTTATATAGCCCCACCCAGCCGCCGGCCAGGCCCCACCCAGAGGGGCTCTCATTGGGCTGCGGCCGACAAGGACCTCCCCGCTGCGCGTCCCTCACTGGGCCAGTTCTCAACCGAGGCCCGCCCCTCTGCCCGCCATTGGCCGGCCTCTCGCGAACTATCCCCGCCGCAGCTGGCCATTGGGCAGTTTGTAAAGCCACAGGGAGGGAAAATCTCGGAGATCGAGAGATTCCTATGGAATCTGGCCAGCTCGACCGGCCAGCTCGACCCTCTTCTCTGTTGGAGTGTATAATTGGTGAGAGAAGTTCAATTTGGGGGGACATACCTTCGTTCTGCTTTTGCCTCGAGACTTCACTCCAGTAACACCGCAGACCTGACTCGAAAAGTGCATCCTTCGAAGGATGGTGCAGACTTGAGCTCTAAAACCGCTAGAGGAGGAAAGAGGCTATGATGGAAACCAGGGCCTGGCGAGTATTAAAGTCGGGTAAAATGAAGCTCTGGGCGCGGGCGGCGGGCAGACAGGTGTAGGAAAGAACATTGCAGGTGCCTATAGCAGAATTTTTACTTCCCGTTTAATTGGGGAAATTGCTCTGGTTCAGGTTATCCAAATTCCTAAAAAAGCTAGAGGTCCAAGCTGGCCAAAGCAGCCTGAAGGGGACTTGGGGAAGGAAGATGGAAAAGCAAGGTAAGGCCTTGAGTGCAAGGCTGAAGAGTTCGCACCATAAACCCACTGGCTATAGGACACTTTTGAGGGTTTCTGAGCAGAGGGGTGATCCGATTAGATGTTATTTAAACATTAGTTTTTTTTTTCCAATGTTAGTTTTATATTCTTCCATGCTAAAAGGCACATGCACATGTTCCCATCCTCCAAGTTGTTTGTTGGCTGAGAAGAGGTTTTACCTCAGTGTATATCTAATGTCTAAGCATAACAAATTAGTCCCTTTCCTAGTCTAGGAGGGTTAATTGGTGTTGGTTTTATCAAATGATTGAATACCTTACCCATCAAATGATTACTCTTGATATTTGTGTAGCATATTCCAGAGGAATGTCATCACTTCCTAGTGAAAAGGTTACTGCACCCAGTTTATCTGAGTCAGGCTTGTAGACTCGAACTGCCAAAGGAAAATCAGCAGTCCAAATGACTTTGTGCTGATAGAGCTCAGAAGACTCAAAGTCACTGCAACTTCAGACTACCTGCTCCCTGGATTCCTATACTCATTTTTTTTCCTCAAGATTCTAATCATGCCACTCAAAATTGTCCTGAAACATTTTGAAACTCAGTGCTTATTCAGGTGACTCTGGGAGGTTTAAGTCCATGGTGCAAAAGTTAATTTCAAACTGCAAAGTATTCTTCGATTTCATTCTTGGAACTGGGTTTTATGAGGTTGCCAGTTCTAAAGTGGATGTTTGTGGTTAGGATATAAGAGTCTGTGGGTGAACATTCAAATAAGTGCTTTGAAAACCCTTGTATATACATAGGCAAGACATGGTTATTCATTGATTGTCACTGCCCCTAGCAAAACAACTCAAATGTTGCATCCCTACTAAAGGTGAGCATATAAGTGATTAACATGAAGCTATCTAGTCATAAACTGAAAAAAAAAAATCTTAAACTCAACACTATCATCTCTTCCTTGCTTCACCTCATTAAGCATCCATTCTACCAGCTATTAGAGTCTGCCAGAGAAAAATGTTCTTCCATTCCCACTGAACAGAGTTGACAATAACCCAGGGATTATAAATACATTGGAAACAGTGACATCCTTAGTGTTATTTGTGGAAATTACAAAACCTATCTTTCTGCAATGTACATCATTCCAACTAAAATGAATTCTCTTATAAGGCATTTAGATTCATTTCTATGCTCTGGACTGCTTAGAGTTTTACTTATTTCTTCCCTTTTCTATTTTACTTCACTAGTCTCAACTCCTGTGCATCACTGTCACAATCTCTCTAGAAATTAAAACATCCAAAATTCAGGGGGAGAGTTCCATAGTCAGCTCTGTTTTCAAGCAATCTGAAGGATCCAATAAGCCTGCATCCCCTGGCTGTGTGTATTCTCTCCCCACCCACCTCCACCACTTAGTGATGATATTACACTGAACTGAAATGACATCCTCATCAGTTTGGGCAAGGGAGGGGCAAAAGAAGATGGAGAGACTTTGGGGGAACAAGAATATCCTGTTCATTAAGCAGTGAAGAATCAGGGTAAATGACAAGATACCAGGGCCATGCTTCAGTATTTGTTTGGGGGCCAGTGCCAAAATGTCCAGTTCCTACCTGGCTTTCAAATGAATGAATTTCTTACAAATGCCTAGTATAGCTGCCCAAGCTGATGTCCATACTCACTTTCTTTTCCTGTTGTCTCATTTTACACTTACTTCCCATTTGACAGGGGCAATCTAGGATGCATGTGCAGTTTCCACCCAGTGCTATTTCACATCTCATATAAGAGCCTATTCAGCAGGACAAAGTGGGGGTGGGGAATTATGTAGAGACCCACGTGATTTGCTCACTGTCCTTCTTGGGGACTTTGATCTCCTTACCCTCATTGTTACCTGGTCACCATTCACCCTGACTCCCAATCTGAAATGTTCTGTCTGGGGTCACCAGGTTTGGTAGGAATCTGCTCTCATTGCACTGGAAGCCTATTCTTGTCATCTGCAATTAGAACACAGTACTATGCTCTGAGTTACAATCTATAACATTGTTTCTATCCAAGGCAAAATGCATTCTAAATGCATTTCAGTTGACTTCAAATGAATTCTGTGGACACTTGCAACTTAACTCTAAATTCTGACATTTAGGGGCTAGGGACATAGCTAAGTGATAAAACATGTGCTTAGTATATAGGAGCCCCTGGGTTCAAATCCCAGCAACATCAAAAATAAATAAAGAAATTCTGATGCTTAGATACATATTCTATGATCTTAATTTACCAAGCCCAAGAAGACCTTGGTCACAGTTGAAGGGTTGCTGAGGTTAACATTCTTATCCCTTTACCTTCTAAAGACTTAGCTACAGTCATGGCCACGTTGATTGATGTATTCTTTGTATGATCCTATACATCTTGTCAAATAGATGGAAATTAGTACAGTGCCTATTCTAATTTTTATCCCACTATTTCTGCATCAAAATAGAATTCACTCTAACCTCTAACACCATTTTCAAAAATCTGTACCAACTACTATAAATTAGTCCCATTATTTTAGATACATCATTCAGTAGAGTTTATTTTAAATTTCCTTAATAGCTATTTACTGAACTATTAAAATATGGCAGACATTTGGCTAGGCACCAAGGGTAAAGTGGATATTCTTGGTCCCTACGTTTATGGAATTTATCACCCTTAGAGGTGAGAGAGTAGAGTCATGGGTTTAATTTTAAATGTGTATAGGTTTAGGAGATAGTGAAAATGAAATGCCATCTGATTATCAAGGAAATAACTAACGTTTAGAAATGTTTTCATATATTTGTTGGCCATTTGTATTTCTTCTTTTGAGAAGTGTTTGTTAGTTCATTAGCCCATTTATTACTTGGGTTATTTATGGTTTTGATGGTAAGTTTTTCAAGTATTTATATGTACTGAAAGTTAATTCTCTGTCAGAAGTGTAGCTAAAAAGATTTTCTCCTGTTATCTAGGTTTTCTCTATACTTTTT